TAGAGGGTCACTGTGAGTTAAAGCTGACTCCAAGGCACACCACCACCACCACCATCATGGGTAAAATATTGAATGATGCAGAAAGCATCAAAAGAAGATGGAAGGAATAGGAGAGTCACTGTACCGAAAAGAAAGGGTCCATGTCTAACCATTTCAAGAGATAGCCTATGATCAAAAGCCAATGGTACTGATGGAAGAAGTCCAAGGTACACTGAAGGCATTGACAAAGAACAAAGCTCCGGGAACTGATAGAGTACAAATTGAAATCATTCAGACTGATGCAGCACTGGAGGCACTCGCTCATCTATGCTAATAAATTTGGAAGACGGCTGGAAGACTTGGCCAACCAACTTAAAGAAATCCACATCTGTGCCCATTCCAAAGATAGGTGACCCAAGAGAATGTGAACAACGTCATTTATATTATCAGTAAAATTTTGCTAAAGGTAATTTAAAAATGGCTACAATGGTACATCATCAGGGAACTACCAGAAGTTCAAGCTAGGTTTAGATGAGGACATGGAATAAGAGATATCATTGGTGATGTCAGATGGATCTTAGCAGAGAATACCAGAAAGATGTATACTTGTGCTTTATTGGCTAAGCAAAGGCTTTTGACTGTGTATTGACAAGCTATAGATAACATTATAAAAAATGGGTGTTCCAGAACACTTAAATGTGTTCCTCAGGAACCTATATGTAGAGCAAGAGGCATTTGTTTGAACAGAACTAGGGGATTCTGAATGGTTTAAAATCAGGAAAGGTGTGTGCCAGAGTTGTATCCTTTCATTATACTTATTCAATCTGTATGCTGCGCAAACAATCTCTGAAATTGGATTAAATGAAGAACACGGCATCAGGATTGGAGGAAGACTCATTAGTAACCTGTGCTATGCAGATGATACAATCTTGATTGCTGAAAGCAAAGAGGACTTAAAATATTTACTGTTGAAAATTGAAGACCACAGTCTTTGGTATGGGTTGCATCTCAATGTCAAGGATTTTGAGGATGGTGAATTATACAAAATGGTAGAGCAAACCCTTTATCATCTCATTAAATTTTTGTTTCAGAAAACATCTTTAATTAAAGTATTGTCTATATTAACATGTAATGGAGTTTTATTTTAAATGAATTTATAAATATGTAAGTTTTTACAAAATAAGTTTTAAAAAATTATATAAACAAAAAGAAGCCGTGGTGGTGCAATGGGTAAGAGCTCATTTAGTAAGGTCAGTAGAGTTTGAACCCACCAGCCATAAAAGAAAGACATGGTGATTTGCTTCTGTAAACATTTCAGCCTGGAAATCTATGGGGCAGTTCTATTCTGTCACACAGCGTCACTATGATTCCACCTTGAAGACACACAACATATAAATGGAAGTTCTTTTGATTGCGAAAAATCCTCATGAAATTTTTAAAGTGTCAATGGAGAACTTAATTAAGACCAAAAAATTTAAGAACCTGATTAGTCCTAGAAGACCATTCTAGGTAGATGAGCAGTTGATGAAGTGTATGGATAGTCAAAGCTGATGAGGACATTTTATGTCTTGTCTTGGGGATAGTGTTCCTTGAAAGATGTTAAAAGTGGAGAGCAGAAAGTGCAATTCATAGTTTCTGGACTTCTCCATTTTGCTTGTGGGCTGTCCTAACACTGTTCATTGTTGTTGTTGTTAAGTGCCATTTAGTCTGTTCCAATGCACAGCCACCCTCCAGAGAGTTTCTGAGGAGTGGCTGGGGCACCTGAACTGCCAACCTTGAGAATCAAACTGACCTTGTGGTCCAGTGCATTATCCTGCAGTGAGTGCATTTTATAGATTTTAAGAAGCAAGTGTGGTCTGAAATTCTAAACTATTAAAGGCAAGTATCTGCAAGTTGTATAGTGAGAACAACGAAGCTGCCTCATTTTTTTCACTGGAAGTGGAACACATTTTTGTAATTCTGGTGATTTTTTTTTTTTGCCAGATGATAAAGGATTTGCTGATTATTGGATTTTATAATCTTTGTTGATGAATTTTTTCTTTATCTTTAATAATTCCATTTCCTGGGAAAAAATCTTAAAGGAGACAAATAGGAGATATAGGGAATACTCCCTAAAGTATGAGGTACTTAAAAAACATGGAAAAATGTAATGAAAAGATAATGGAATTGTTCACTAACTTCTTTTGGAAACCTCCACGTATATCTTGGAACTTAACATTTATCTTTTTTTTTTTTTTAATTAAATGTTTTTATTTTGCATTGAGTG